CCACGTGCCTAGCTCATGAGTTGCATTGTCGTTCAGAGATGAAGCAAATAAGATGCTTTTAGGTATCTGGAAGAGCTCAATCTGGCAGACATGCAAACAAAAGGAAGCATGATTCTATGGCTTAGTGGTCAAGGCACTCAATCAAGGGACAAAAAATCAGTAACTGTCCCAAGTCAGTCCTAACCACTAGGCTACAGAGAGGTTCCCTCTTGCCTCCTTTCCTTCTGGCCCCATTACTCTTGTATTCATGGCTGCACAATGAACCACCTTCAAAAGAAGGAGTGGAGAGTAGCCCCACTCAAACTATTCTGTAGCCTCAACTTCAGGGTACTTTCCAACATGGTATTAGATGTAGCTTTGACTCCCTATAGGCTAAAGAGGCCCCAAAGCAAAGGTCTCCCATTTCCAAGGCCACCCAATTTTTGCCTATAATTATTATACACAAGGTCAATGTCACCAATCCCTGCCCAGTTAGGCACTTCCCCTCAAAAGAGGTCTCTGTGTTCTTAATCTCAAGTGAACAGAGACTCCAAATATGCTGCCCTTAGTTGAGGCAGAATTTTGTACTTAATGCTTTCTGATTAGCTAGCTCAAAGGAGTTCCCTGGCCTCTCTGAAAATTCTTTTGGAGGCATCTAATTCTCCCCATTGACTATGAAGGGAGACTGGGTCCCTAACCCTATTTCTTTGAACCATTTTCTTGATGCCAGGCACCATATTTTAGGCATACCACATCTTTAATTGGAGTTGCCTAAAGGGCTAAACAGGATCTTGCCTTAAAGTCTCATTTAGAAAAGTGATTTAGGAATTTAGAAGCCTAATTGTCATTAAAGGTCAATGGAATGTATATTCATAAGTACCCCAAGTCACTTTTTAAAACAAGATTTACTTTTCTAAACCTCTCATGTGTTTTTGAAGATTTTACCCAAGATCTAAAGTTCTTTACTGAATTGGTAGTTCTGGAGAAGTGTGAAACTGCTTTGTGTCTAGTTATCATTGTTGTCATTGTTGGCAGTCCTTTGATACAAGGATGATAGTCTTCCAGTACACAGGAAAGTCATCAGTGAGTCTGGGGGTGGCTGCAGAGGCCAATCCAAGATCTGCATGTTCAACTGCAGATATGGCGTGTAGTTCCAGAAAGAAGGAATGGATCCTGATGATGTCAAGTCACAGCTCTTAACCTTTGTTTCACTTGCTTATTTACCTCCATAGTGAGGCAACTGTGCACAAAATGGTCAATGACTTGTTGTACTTTACAGAGCCACTGGGGATGATTCACTGTTTGAGCCTTCCAAGGATTGATGTTAATATTGCTTTCATCAGATTGGCCTTCAAGGTGTACTTGAATCTCTTCTTTTGCCTACCTCTAAAGTGATTACCATTAGTGAATTGGACCTGTTTTGGGAGCTAGTTGTCAGGTATCCATACGACATTCCTGTCCAATGGAGCTGATGTTGTATAAACATGGCTGGTGGTGTCTGCTTGAGCCAAAACACTAGCATTCATTCTACTGTCCTTCTGATTGATATGAAGGGTTTTCTGAAGACTGCTTTCAAGGCTTTCAGGTGTTGCCAATAAGCTGTCCAGGTTACACACCCACCAAAACAACAGAGTAGGGATGGCAACAGCCTAGTAGACAAGAAGTTTGGTTTGAGCCCTGATATTGTGATTATCAAAGACACAATATTGGAGATGTTCAAAGGCAGCACTGGCAGATTCTATTAAGTGTTGAGTATCATAATTTTTTTTTATGTTATAAGGAAGGTGACTACTGAGATAGGGTAAATGCTCAACACTGACCAAGAACTGCCCTCTAATTGTAAAATGTAGTGGAGCAGCTGGTTGTTTTGAAAGAGCCTGGTAAAGTATCTTGGTTTCTGTGAAGTTGACAGTGAGTCCAAGCATTTCATCTGCTTCACAGAAGACATCAGGAATGATGTGGAGCTCCACAGTCGATAGGACACACATGAGACAATCATCAGCATACTGAAGATGAGTAATGGAGGTGTTGGGTATCCTGAATTTGGAATGTAATCAGTTGATGGTAAAGAGATTCCCATCCATGCAGTACAGATTTCCCTCACTTTATGCTGTACATGCATTCCTGGAAAATGACACATAACTCAAATTTGCATAAAGGGAACCCACTTTACAATGTAACAAATAGGGATACGTTCCAAGACCTCGACTGTACTGACCCCTGGACCCATTTCTACCACTTTCACAAAACAACTTTGGTACTCACCAACAACAGACAATACGCACAAGCACTATCATAATGGAGATGGCAGCTACAGAAACACGTGTTGCAGACAATGAACGAGGAGCCCAGATCCACAGAGGAGACTATATTTTGGTGCATATCACTCCCACAATGTACCACCCAAAGCAGCTGACTGTGGGCTTCTACCACACCAATCGCATAAAAGTGAATTTACCTCACATATAACAAATTTTTGGTATAAAAAGTGTCAACGCATAAGAGCGAATTTGCACATACAGAACCTGCATAAAGCGAGGGAAACCTGTACTAGATGCTGATTCAAGATGGAAGTCTATCAACAATGAGATATGGAATAGCTGCAATACAGATGGAAAAAAGTATTGGTGCAATCATGTATCATTGCTTGACCGCAGTTCTCATGTTGAAGGGGTCCACATTCAAGCCATTGCTCAGGACAGTTGCTGTCATGTCTTCATGAAGAAGTTTTATGGTACCAAATTATGGTAGGCATCCAGATATCACCAGGGCTTCTCTGTTGATTGAATCAAAAGCCTTAGTCAGATCAACAAAGGTCATGTAAAGATCTGTGGTGATCAACGGCACGTCTCCTGCAGCTGTCTAGCAAGAAAGAACGTGTCGATTGTACCTCTGGATGGTCTGAAACCACATGGGTAGGAATATCCAGAAATTGCGCTGGAGGTGCACGGCACGGTGACTTCTTTAATTTTGGAGTTTCCCCCTGTGCCCTTCCCCCCACAACAGATTGGCGGGAGGGGGAGGGGGAGGGGAAGGTCCATCACTCACCACCCATGCCTAATGGCTGAGAGGTGAAAACCACTGCAATTTTCACCTTCTGGCCATCAGGTATAGGTGGCAAGCAGTGAGCAGCAGGGCCCCTCTGCCAATCAGCAGCAGGGGGCACGCGGGGGAGACTCCAAGATTAAAGAAGCCGCCGCGCCACGCACTTTCGGTGTGAATTCCAGAGATTCCTACACATTGGGACTCAGGTAGACTCTCCTTGGTAAAGGGAGTGAGTCTATTGAAGAGAATGTGGGTGAGGATCTTCCCAGCTATGAACAGAAGTACAATGCCACAGTAACTGGTGCAATCCAATCTATCTCCTCTCTTGAATATGGTTACAATTCTGGCATCTGTCAAGTCACTGGGAGTCTGTTCTAGTCATGGCAATACATCAATAATATGTGACTTATCACTTCTTTGAAGATCCCTGGAATGCCTAGACACACTACCATGAGCTAATCAAGAACTATTCATTTGTTTCTATGTATGTATTTATTTGATTTCTATGCCTTCCTCTCCAGAAAGGCTCAGGATGGGTTACAGTATTAACATTAATTGTAAGTTGTATTGTAGTTAATTTAAACTTACTGTCACCTGAGTTCAGTTAAGCAGGTGTAAATGATATGGCACTTTAGGAGTTAAGTAGAAAAGCTTAGCTCTAAATCCATGAGCTACTCATCTGAAAAAGACTTACACTCTTGGGCACAGTATATTCTGCAAAACTGAACCTGGCACAATGTAATATAGTAAAATATCGGTAATAAATTTCTTTCCTTTTTCAAACTCTGCCAGAAATATCAATTCATAAGCCAAAATGAATGAATTACTGTAAAGTTAGAAAAGAGCAAGAATACAACAATCCTGCCACCTAGTGGAAATATCCTGCTTTTGAATAATTCCATGTTGCCATTCTCTTGAGTATTGGCACAGGAAATACTGCTACATATGCCAAACCCAAGGGCAGAGGAGAGAGTCACTGGATTAGGGAAAATGTCATTCCATAACAGAAATCTACCCCTCCCAACTGATAAATCCCTTGATAATGAAATCTAATGGCATTCCTGTAGGGGCTGAATGTGCTACAGCTGTTTGAAATATATTGGACTGTCATCAGTAAGCCAGCCATCAAGGACTTTGATCATTTTTATCCAATTTCCACTTGATTTCAATAATAATTTTGTCCAAACAAAGACTTAGTAGAAAGTGAGCCAGGTCCTCAATATTTGGCTCAACCTAAACTCAGGGAATAAACCAAAAAAATTACAAATTGTATTTTTAAAACATACCCAAGTACACATTAAACTCCTGCATAGAAGTTTATGTGCTGTGTCTACAGACAGATTCTTTTAACAGCTTGGTTTTTTTACCTCTTAGTAGCCATCTTACCTGTACAGGTGCAGTTATTGTCATATAATGTGGATAGAAAATTCTCCTTAGATTTGTAGATTCATAGACCGTAAGGCCAGAAGGGACCTCGGAAGATCATTGGGTCCAGCCCCCCCGCACTAGGCAGGGGAGACAACTGGGTTCAGGTGACCCCAGCAAGGTGACTGTCCAGTCTCCTCTTGGTGATTTCCAGGGTAGGTGATTGCACCACCTCTGGAGGGAGCTTAGTCCACAGTCTGGACACCTTGACTGTGAAGAAGTTTTTGCTAATGTTGAGCCTGAAATGGTCTTCCAAGAATTTGTGGCCATTACTCCTAGTTTTCCCCTCGAGTGCCCTGGTGAACAGTTGCTCACCGAGCCCTTGATGTACTCACCTAGTGTAGTGGTAAGGTGCTACCAGGTCCCCTCTCAGCCTTCTTTTCCTCAGGCTGAAGAGTCCCGGATCCCTTCAAGATGGCAAGAGATTTTTTTTTTTCCTGGTTAAAACAAGTAAATTATAAAAAACAGTTTCATTGGAGTTATTCAGAATGTATTTGGGGGTTTCCCCTACATAAACTTTTAATTTCCCCTTCATTTCCTCTCCACCCCAGGTTCTCAGAAAGCAGGAGAGCCAATCCCAATGAATATCCTACTGGAGAAAACAGCATGAGCAACCTGAGTGACTCAGCTTCACAAATAAGGTAAGGTCTATGTTTCTGTCACTCAGAAGGGAAGGGAAGCCAGCAAGTTCATCAGTACCCTTAAAGTTCCCTTATCATCTTTCTGTGTCTCCTTAGAAAAAAAATGTATCGATTGCTAATTTGGAATCCAAGTGCATAACTGCAAGCCATATTCACCCCTAAATTTTACCCTAGTCACTCATATTTATATTCATAGTTAACTTATACCTTCCATGCGCTTCCTGTTGTCTGGAGATTGCTATAAGGTCATATTGTGATGTCTATATTATCACAATAAGAAAAGAAAGACATTTGATTAAAAACAAAAAGCACACAGCCACCACCAAACCAGGACTTAGAATGTATAGAGTACTGTACTATATCAAGACCTTAAAATGAGATCTGCAATATTTCTCATTCCTATGCTTTTTTTCATTATCCTGATAGTGAAGTCAATTTTATGTAGAATCTTACTATGTGTATTTCCTTAAGACATTCATAATCCCTGTCCTGCATATTACCCCAGTAGCTTTCTGAAATCAGGAAGCCTGGTGCCTTTCTATATTGTCAGTGAGTATTTGCAAAATCTAATCAAAAAGGCATGGCTTCACTATGATCACATAACATTTTAAAAGAGGCTACAGAGCTTTTTTCAATCATTTATAACTGTTTTAGTGTTCCTTTTTCCATCCTTACCCACCTAAAGGCAGTAAACTTCCAGGAGACAGATCCTTGCTGCATTTCAGAATTAACACTTTAGACACTTTGCTGTTGCCACACTTATGAAATGTGGTTCTAAGAAAAATCCAAAAAATGTGGTTCACAGTTTTGTATCCCTCCTCTATAAACCTAAGACATGTGGGGTGCCTGTACATACCACAGGTTTTAATCCTCATTAAATTAAATAGGTGTATAAAATTTAAACTTGTTTGTTTTGGAGCATTGCATCTATGTTTACATGCACTAGGTTTATTCAAACTAATTAAGCTGGGTCCCTGGCTAGTGCCACAGGAGAGTGGGATAGTCAAGTGCTGCTTCCCCCCAGCCTGGAGCCCCCCCCCCGTGCCCTACCACACAACTGTGGAAGCAGGGAGCTGGCAAACCATGCAAGAGTTTAAAAAAAAGGGGGAAGCAATTCTAAAGCAAAAGCAATTGGAAGGGGTGAACTACAAAAAAGTCATAGTGCCATCTGATGGACAAAGGGACTCATTACATGTCTTCAGATGCCTTTGTGTTTGCATGCAATGAATCCATGGATGTGACACTTTAATTCCCAGCAAGCCAAACTAAACTATGTCTAAGGAGTTTTAGTTTGATGCACAGGAAATACTTTTAAAGCATCAGGAAATCCCTCTCATTCAAACAGACATGCAGTTGCAGTGCATGAAAGGGCAAAAATCATGGCATGTATATGAGCCCATGGTTCCATTTCCTACCACCACCCCCAATTGAGAAATATCAGAGGAGATTTTTATCAAGTTTTCTAAATAAAATCAATGTTGTGACACAGAAAAAGCATGAAAACATTTAGCACAAAATCTCAGTGTTTCAAAATTGTGTTTGCCTATCTGAAAAAAGAAGGAAAGAAAAAGTTTTAAAATTTGAAAGCCCTGCTTTTATGTACTTTTCTGTTTTCAATGCTCAAATTCAGTGGTACATACAGGAAACTTAATTTGTATGTACATTAGCTAAAATATGCTGCACTGAATATTAGTTTGAAGATAACTGCTTGATAGCTTAAGGCTGAACCTATGAGATGTTGAACAACAGTGGTTCCACATCATAGTGACAGTGTGTTGTCATCTGTTTCCTTAATTAAAAATATCTGACTATGCATGGAGGTCCCCAGTTTTTGCATAGTCCTTAATAAATGTCTCCATATTAAGCTATGTGAAGGACACATGAGAAAGTCTCCTATTATTTTCTGAAAATATTCTAGCTAATTAAGTGAAATAAAATGTTTCGTTGAATACATTTCTATGCAATTTCCATCTTCGTTCTAAATCTGCAGACCCCCAAGTTATCAACTAAAAATAATGGCACCACATAGACAAGCATATCAGATGTGTTTTACATCAGCTGAATTAAATTCTGCCATAACAGTTATTTAGGACCTGAAGGTATAACAAAAAAACAATCAGAAAACTATTTTAAAAAGTGAGATATATGTAAACAGAATTTCTCTATACTTCCCTTTCTCTGCTTTGATCATTATGATTTTTTTGACGATTGGTATGGTTATTACTATAAATTATTTGCACCAGCTATGTACTAACTTATCCATAAATAGGTAAGAAAACATAGAGCCAGGTCCCCAACTGATGTAAATTAAAGTGATATGCTACATCATTTTATACTAGCTGAGGATCTGACCAATGTGGCAATGGTCTATATATCAAAGAATGTATCATGTAAATTAATAGTTTGACTGCATAAGATTGTTGCGGCAAGCCACTGTTTACAAAACCCAGGACTTGTCCTGGTTGCAGTGGCTGCCAGCAAATGTAATGAACATAGAGTCCACCAGCTAGTTCTATCTGCATATTTATACTCAGTTGATTTCCAGTAGGCAAGTGTGCTGCAGATTTATCCAGTTCAAATAGTGGCATTTAATTTGGAGTAGAGTCACATCATACAGTCACACCCACCATTTCTTCTGTAATATATTTGTATAATCTACGTGCATTTCTATTTTTCATTAACTCTGCTTCAGCACTAAATATTTTTAACTCTTTGTCGGTGGTTTTTAATAGCTAAGCTACAGTTTGTCGAATGCACAGGAATACAGGCAGAGCTCGGAGATATTGCAGGTTCGGTTCCAGACCACCGCAATAAAGCAAATATCGCAATAAAGCGAGTCACACACATTTTTTGGTTTCCCAGTGCATATAAAAGTTATGTTTACACTATACTGTAGTCTATTAAGTATGCAATAGCATTATGTCTAAAAAAACAATGTACATACCTTAATTAAAAAATACTTTATTGCTAAAAAATGCTAACCATCATCTCAGCCTTCAGCGAGTCGTAATCTTTTTGCTGGTGGAGGGTCTTGCCTCAACTTGTAAAAAAAGCAATATCTGCGAAGCGCAATAAAGCGAAGCGCAATAAAACAAGGTATGCCTGTACATATTTATTTTAAAAATACAAAGATCAGGCAGTAAAGATACCAAAGGTTTAATTCTGCTCCAGGTTATGCTTGTTTCTGCTAACATACCCAAAGAACAAGGCCCCTAAATCAATCTTTTTTTTTAAGTTAAAAAAGAGAAGGAATTATGAAAAAAAAGAAGAAAAAGAAAACACACAAACAAATAGTCTGCTGACTCAACTGAATCTGTGAATATGCTTGCTTATTTCAGGATGCCTCAGAGTTCAAAATCATCTATCCCTCTCACTGGAGACAGCCAGGCAGATGCTGATATCATGGCTTTCTTTAAAGCCAGACAGAATCTCTTGCAGAAGAAAGGTAAACCCTAGGGCCACACCCCCACGAGCGGACATGTGGTTTGCAGCACCATAAACCATGCACTCCAGACATGCAAGCATTCTGCTAATTTGCAGCATGGCAGGGTTTTTTGACACTGGGAGATCCTGATATGAAAAAAACCTGTGCCACAAAAAAGCAGGGTGGCACACATGGCAGCCACCTGAAACCAGAGCCTGGCCAGCTAGACCCATGCTCCAGCTGCCAGCGAGGTTCTGCACACCTGGATTGCCACTGCTGGAGTCCTAGGAGGCCCCCAGGTAAGGCTGCTGAGGCCAGCTCAGATGCTGGCCTCAGCCTCTCCTACCAGACCTGGGGCAACTTGCCGCATGCCAGAGCATACATGCAGGAGCATTCCTTGGGGACAACTAGCAGAGGCACAAATATGTGCCGCTGCCATTTGTCCCTGGGGAACACATTTGTGGGGGTGCTCCGTAGTAGGCCAACTGAGCTTTCCTACATGGCACTGTAAAGCCTGAATGGTTTCAGCATCATTACTAATGCTAGTCCAGATTTACACTGATAATTGTTTCATCAACAAGTCCAACCATTAGAAATTTCTCTACTTGTATCCAATTTAATGCCTATATTCAACATCTCACTTTACACCTTGTATTATTATACTTTATGATCAGATGGAGGAATGTCTGAGGCAACTTTCTTAAAGTAAAAGATTATGTCATTTGTAATATGATTCTTTTATGGTTTCTCTTTGTTAAATAGAAGATGTTAATAGTATTGCTTACAGTGACCACATCTACACGAGACACTGGCTGCACAGTAGCACATTAATACTGTGTAGTAGTGTCACATGGCAAGAAGTGTGATGCAACACTACTGCACAGTAGTAACAAGTATACAAGTACTAAATGACTCATGTAGAGATGCACGTGGCCAGTGAATAACATTTCAATCTTCAGGTAGTGTTGTTAAACACAATGGGACTGTTTTTGGAGGAAGGCTAATCAAATAAGTAGTGCTGTCAGAATAAGGACATGAATGAAGTAAAATAAAATCAAGAAGATTCTCTTTTCTCTACTACAAATGCACTTTCTATTCTGTGAGGCTGGTAGATGCTGAGCTGTAGCAACAGGGTTTTGATTTTCTGTTTCATAATTAGATGAGGTGCTTTTAAAATCTTCAACATAACTTATATCCCTTTAAAAATATCTGGCCAGAAGCTCAGTGTCCCTGTCAGCACTGCCCTGTCAATTTAAATGTATCCCCAACAGTTGATACAAACTAAGGATCTATCTAAAGCTTATGGCATCCCTATGTCATTAAGTTTGCCTAACTGTCCCACTCTGTCTGGTCCTCCCATCAATAGATATTGTGTGATATCAAGGCTAATGTAAATCCTTTATTGGTATTTGTCATCAAATCAGGGTGAAAGCACTTATACATGGGCAGGGCCAGAGTAAGTAATTTAAATTGGCAGTAGGCAGAATCCACCAAACACACAAGGGTGGTTCCTGGGGGTGGCCTGGAATGTCATCATAATTCATCATAATAAAGAGAAAAGGATCTTGTTCTTTATAACAGTTTTTAGTGACGCAGCAAATTAGAGAATAGATGAAAGCAGTAGTGATTATTGAAGCAATAACTTTCCATCAGCACTCCAGTGCTGATAACTGCATTACTCCAGCAAGCTATCAGCACCTAGCAGATGGTGTCAGCATTATCACAGAGTGGTGCTTTAGTATCACTTGGCTTATCAGGCCACTGTCAGGTAAACATACAGCAGATGAAAAACCAGCCACCTTGCTCTCATACAAAGCAAACACTTTGGGTACTTAGGCTTTGAGGTCCCTTTTGTCTTAATTGAGTAAGGCTGCTGTCAAGCTTCTTCTGCAGACATAATTAAACTGAATTTGTAGGTGGTTTATCCAGGAGCCAGCCTACAGAAAAAGAAGTTAACACTGAAGGCAGAGGTCCTGGCTTCCAGAGGATCTAAGATTGATCCATTGTGTGAGATACTAAAAAGATTAACTCTAGATAACAAAAGCTCAACAACTTGCCATAAAACTGGCTCCCATGCCAATGAATCTCTTGCTCCCTTTTCTAACCTGCTTATTAGCCTGCAACCTATTTCCCAGCATTATGGATGGAGCTCACTAAAGGTTAGCTCTTACGCACACTACCAGCTATTAAGTCCCACTATATATGACAAAAATCTCTTCAAAACAGAGAATGGTCTGTGCATCTGAAACTGTGTAAAAGTTCAGATATAAAAAGGTGGGCCAGATTCTGCCCTCAGTGGATGGATATGAGAATTGTATCACCTGAACAACAGGATGGCTTATGACAGTCAGGAGAGAACAAATGATGTAGAATACAGGGAAATCATGTCTCCTCTGCTGGTGAGCATCACAAAGAAAAGATTGGAGCAAGCTATTGTCCATCATGTACAATAAAAAGATCCTCCTCTGGTCTCTCCTTCAAACACTAGGAGAGATACCTCTGTTCACCTCTCGCCCCGGTCAGGGAAGGATTTTACCCTGATACCAATCTGGCTAGCAGTCTCTCCAGTAAGTTGAAACTCAAAAAGGAATCCTACAGAAAGTGGAAACTTGGTCATATTACTAGGGAGGAATATAAGAGTACACCCTAGGATACTAAAGGAATTGGCTGAGGTAGTCTTAGAGCTGTTGGCTATCGTCTTTGACAACTCATAGAGGTGAGGTGAAGTCTCAGATGATTGGAAAAGGGCAAATATAGTGCCCATCTTCAAGACAGGGAAGAAGGGGGAATCCAGAGAATTGCAGACCAGTCAGCCTGACCTTGTGCCTAGAAAGATCACGGAGCAGGTCCCCAAGGAATATGTTGTGAAGTATCTAAATGAGAACAAGGTGATCAGGAATGGATTCACAAAGAGTAAGTTATGCCTGACCAACATGATTTCCTTCTATGCTAAAGCGACAGGCTCTGTGGATGATGGGAGAACAGTGGCTGTGATGTAACGTGGCTTTAGCAAGGCTTTTCACTCCATCTCCCACAACATTCTCATTAATGCAGTAATGAACTACAGACTAGATGAAAGTACTGTAAGGTGGATGCATGACTGGTTGGATCATCTTGCTCACTGAATAGTTATCAATCAATGTCTAGTTGGAAGAAGGTATCAAGCTGGGCTCCCTAAGGGTCTGTCCTGGATCTAGTATTGTTTAATTTCTTCATTAATGATATAGATAATTGGATTGAGTGCATACTTAGCAAATTTGCAGATGACACCAAGTTGGATGAAGTTGTAGACATTCAGGAGGGTAGGGCTATTTAGAAGGATTCAGAATGACTTAGATAAACCAGAGAAATGGTCCTAAATCAATCAGAGGAAATTCAACAAAAACAAGAGGAAAGTCCTGCACTTGGGATGGAATAATTGTATGCAAAAATACAGATTGGGGAATGATTGGCCGGGCTGCAGTACTGCAGCAAAGGACCTGGAGGCCAACCTTTTTTGGCAGACACGCCACAAATTAGCCCTGCACCCTCCCCCAGTGCCATTCCAATCCCTTTTCCTTACCTGATCTGCTGATCAGCTTTTTGCTTCCTGCCCTGTATTCCCTGCAGGATCTGATGCTCTGCTTTCTGCAGCCTGCCCTATTGGCAAATGTGCTGCCTCCCCAATCTGCCGCATGCCACACAGAGATGCTGCCCATGTCGCTTGTGGCATCCATGCTGCAGGTTGGCCACCCTGTTCTAACTGATCTATATTCAGAAGGGTACATTGCCTCCTCATGAATTAAGTAGTACAGGGATCCTGAAAGAAGCTGGGCTCCTGGCAAAGGAAAGGCAGAGCAGCTTTGCAGAGAAAGAAATATCAAGGGAGGGAGACCAGAGTAGGTAGAAAGAGGAAAAGGAGTAAGCTTAGTGGGTGCTTTGGGGAAGAGGCCTGCAGTAGTACTCATCCCTTATGTAGCACTTTTCTTCAGAAAATCTCAAAGATCTTAATTTTACAGATAGGCAAACTGAGTCCCAGGGCACTCAGGAAGGCAGTGGCAGAGCTAGGAATAGAAGGCAAGTCCCCTGAGTCCTGGTTCGGTGCTCTGTCTACCTGGCAATGCTGCCTTCCACAAAGTCCACATCTTTTTAGGCTTTTCCATTTGGGAAATATTTGAGCATTTGTCTATTACTGCACTTAACTGTCTACAGGGCTGTTGTACTTTATTCACAGAACTTTGTTTCCTTCATGGAAGAGCCCTTGAGGGGACTCCAGCAGAAAACATTGTCCCAGTAAAACAAAGCAAGGTTTGTTAGGCCTAGAAGATGATGTCAGCATACTTCCTGTTCCTTCCTATATTGATCCTGACCCTTTCAAACTGTTCCATATCAATAGTCCAGGACCGCACCAATGGCCCTACTTTGCATTAGCTGAGAAAAGAAGATAAAATGTGTGCAGAGGCCGATGGAGTGGAAAACAAGTTTTATAAATAGAAAAGGCATCAGCGTGGGAATGCACAACATCCTTAATGAAAATAATACAGTGGAAAAAGCCTTCTGCGGGGGTCTCCAGGGAGATTAGTTCATCATTCCCAGATCATTGCTATTCATATCTCTGAACTTTACAAATAGAGATTAGTTAAGGCAGGCACACATGCAGTCCATTACACTATTTGAATATCTCTCTGTTCATTCTACTGCTTGGGAGTAGCTCGCTGGGGTTTGCTAATGCTACTGTTACATGGAGACATGGTTCAATTAGTAAAGTAGTTTACAAAGGGCTGTTCTGCAATCATAAACCATCCTTAAATACTTCATTCTTTGGGTAGAGAAGTGAAAACTGTACCAGGAAAGAATGTAAATTTAATATTATCCTTAAAATCTTAGATTAAGGTATCTTCTTCATTTATAACTATTTTGTGTTTGCAGAGTAGCCAGTGGTTTAAAGTTAATAATAATGTCTTAAAGTACTGTCTTATTAAAAGTCTTTTTATCTCTTTTCAGGCTTGGGGATCAAGTAAAATTCATCTTAATGTCCAATATTTCTGCTTTAGAAATAGTCAAAAGACCTCCCTTCTGCCCCATTTTTGTATATTTAAGAACTGCTCAAAATTGAGTGCTTAGGACCTGCAACATAATTGACTGAATAACAAATGACTCATGGATGAAAACAAAATCCAACCCTGTAAGGAATGTTGTTGAATTTGTGCAGTCAACATCTTCAGCATGAGCAAAGTTCAAGCAAGACTGAAATGACTAAACTTTGTTTATTTGGAATTTGACAGTCATATTGTAAAGGTCATAATTACCTAAAAATCTGTATAACACTTTTCCATATCAGCAATAAGTGAACCATTTCTTTGTCGCCGATCTCTTTTCTTCATTTGATGAACTGTACAATGGAAACTTAAGGAAGAAGTCATGTGAAATTCAGCAGTTTTGTCTTCATGTGTTTGCCTGAGCCATTGCTGGTTTTGGTTCTGATAGGATCGAGAGTAGTTGTATACAAAAACAGTAAGTATTTGGTTTATAAAATGTAGGACCTTTGCTGATGCCAACAATGCATTATTGATTTTTGTTTTTTGAGAAAACGCAGTTTTTATGCCTCAAATTGTGAGATTGTGTTACAATATGAAAAATGATCTCTTTAGCATTGTGACATTTCAGAAATTAAAGGTTTCAGAAAAATGAGGTTTTCACTTAAATACATCAGATTAAATGTGACATTCCCCCAAATGTCCAGACTTGAACAAACAGCAGCGACATTTCACAGATTTACAGTGAAACTGAAATACTTTTTGCAAAATGCAAATTAAATATGAAAATGTAAATGCAGGTTCATGTGTTCTTGCAAATATTTTATATAGCTCTCTACACACTTTGTGTTATCTTCTTCACAACTCCCAGTCTCAGTTCAAGAGTGAGATTCAGGCAAGTAGAAATATTTAAAGTACACATCTAATTCTCCAAGATGTACATGAAATCACTCTATTTCATGATAGAGCTAAACTTGCACTGCTGAAATCTGAAGATGGTTGGTTATTCAGATACAAATACAGATAACCTGATTGCCAAGAGCCCTGTATTCTTAGAATGTTTTCCTCAATTTGTTGGAATTAAATTTTGTAGCAAATTGAAAGTTATGCCACAGCATTCGCGGGATTGGAAAATACTTGGAGCTAAAGGTTTTCACTAAACTGGCAATTAAAATGCAGTCAATAAGGTAGTTTTTAATTTTAAAAGTACTGAGTTTCTCTGTATTTCAGTTTACTCTAAAAATCACCCCAGGGTCAAAATAAATCAATACATTTTGCACAGGCTTTAGGAAGAATCAGATTAATTGAGGGCCTGATCTATTGTTATTATCTAAGATTATTTTCAATTAGGAAGAAAGGCACATGTGATAGAAAAGGCACAGTTCTCCCTCTTTTTTTTTGGCTGTTCTGAAGGTTTTGTTAACCCCTTTTTCTTTCTTTCAGCTTCTTTATTCCTGCTCTTCCCGTGATGGTTGCCTTACTAATACTTGTGTGCATACATTACATTTTGGCTGCTCACAGTGGGTGGGATTGCTACTCATTGTTGCTGGTTTCTGGGGAGTTTGTGGAAGGAAACTAATGCAGTGTAACAGCTGAAAACAAAGAGGAGAACCAGCATCCTGTGATCAACCAGCTTTCTGTAGTCCACAGCTTATGAACCACTATGCTAGAGAATCCATTCAGCAAGCTGTTTCTCTGCAGGGCCTCCCTTGCACAGAGACTGCCAGTCATGCTGAATTAATGTTCATACAACAATACTGAGTACAACAGAGCTACCAAACTGAGTTCACTTAAGACAGCAAGTTGAAATGAACCAGAATGCTGACAGTGAAGACCTGGACTGCTGTTCAGTTCAATGGCTCTCCTTTCTTTTTATCAGTAAAATCTTCATTTCACTTGGAAGTTGCTAGGAGAAAAGCATTAGGAAAATAGTCAATTTCTCCTGAGAGTTACTCATTTGACAACATCCTTCAGTAGGAAACTGAGAGATTGGTCCCTGCACAGAACTGATCTTGTGTGACTGTCATATAATGATTTCATACACATTATGCTCTCAGTTTGCCAGCTAATTATAGATATCGGAGACAGATCTATTAGTTTCCCAGATCCAAAATCTTGTGTTCCTAATTCTGATTTCATACCAGTTTTCATTAGTATGATTCCCAATGATTTAAACCAAGGTAATCTGGATTTACAGAATGATCTACAGTCCGGATCAGGCCAATATGTGCAAGATAAGTGTGACTGAGATATAAATAGTAATAAAAAACTACATAAATAGAGATGAATGATGAAAACTGCCCTGGCAACCCTTTAGATACTTCCCCAATGTAGCTATTTTGGAGACACAAAGTTAAACATCTTTTTTGAATATTTGTCCAAAATTACTTGTCCACCATTTTTTCAAGATTCCTCCCTTCCCTGAAGACTGTTACTTAAGAAACTATCAGTTTCTATAACAGTTTGGTTGATCATACCGTAATAATGCAACCTGTCCTGATAACTCTTGCACAAATAATATACAGTCTCATTGGAAAGGCCCAGTGTTTACCAAGCGGAAGGAACAGTCAGTAGCATAGGTTTACATTTGGATTTGTGCCTGCCTAGTCACCTGTAAAGCAGTTTTCCTAAGTAAAGAGGTTCTCACAGATGACTGAGTACTGTCTATTGACCGTGATATCTAACCAGTGGCTGTGTAAACTTGTAGATATGGTAAATACTATTTATCATCCCTAAGCAGAGTAAATCCAAAGACCTTGTTTGCAGAGGCATTTTGGGGCAGTTGCAGTACAGTGCTGGATGTCACACAGATGTTCCCCAGGAAGAACTCATGCCAAACACCATGGGCCACATCATCCTCTGCCACAGTAAAATCCAGACACCTCCTACTCTTGTGTCCCCTTCCCATTTGACTATAAAGGAGCTTCTTTCTGAGCTCCACTTTAATGTCACCATTTCCAGAAAGCCAAAGTGTGCTCACACACTGGTGGTAAGGCCCAAAGGACCTGCTTCTATTTATGCTAAATCCCCAGTGATCTGTATAGAGGCCACATCATCCATGTGAATTGTTGCACTCAGTAACTGGCCCCTCATCACCCCTTCTTCCACAGCTTCCTGACCACAACTGAAATTCATACACATGGTATCACTAGCATGTACAGTAGAACCTGTATACTTCGCACACTTCGGTACCTTACCCACCCTGTGAAGATGAGGGTTTATGAACTAACCAGGGGATATGCAGCGGCAACAAACAGCTGTGCGGTACCAGTGAGGTCCGCCAGCTGTTTGCTGCAGCTTTGGTTGCAAAGGGCACTGTTTCTCCAATCAGCTGCTCAGGACCACTAATGAGCTCCAGCTGAGAGGAGAAGCTGCACATTTTGAAGTAAAAGCTGCAGCTGAACAGCTTATCCTTCACCAGGCAACCCACTGTAAATTAAATCGGTTATGAGCCACTTAGATACGAATGGTCCAGGTTCTGCTGTATTGTAGTATTCTCCCAGTGAGTTTTCATTAGTCTGATCATGTTTAACTGATCATAGTATATATAGGTTTAATGTCAGTAATATAAACACACAGCATTTCAGCAGGATAAAGGGTTAAGCACTCATAAAAGCTAAATGTACTAACTGCTCAGCTAGAGAATATGGATGTCGACAAAATGAGATTCTCAGCCTGACAGGTTGTCTGGGTATGTTTTATGTCCCTCTATAGCATATCATTTATCTTTTCAGAGTTCATTTATTTTAATAACTACAAAAATCTCATTTCTATTCTAAGATTTTTTTTAAATAAGCATTTTTATTCTTTAAATTATGTTTAAAAATCTTTTTTCCAATTTTTCTATCCCACATCTAATATTTTCTATGAAATCTCACTGAAGTGGTAAATAATGTGATTTAGGGAATTATAATACCAGTGACTTGATCTGATACCAGCACAAGAAAACTAAGAATTCTTAATGCTACCCCTGCTTTCTTTTGTCCTCAGAGATAACAGCACTTGAGATGGTCATGTTTTTCAGTATCTGATATCATGTTTTTTCAATATCTGAGGCTCTTCGTTACACACAAATGCCAAACTAGTCATGCTTACATTTAGGACTGTCTATTGACCTGCATAAATTGAGTCTACTTTGTGGCTGTAAGAAGTTAGCTCTTCAAAAGATTGAAGCAACCAGATCCAGTGTTCAAAGACAGAACAACAATAGGATTCAAGGAATTGTTCACAGAAATTATGAAAGAAAAATATAATCAAAATCTTGTGGCTTCTTTTATCCATTCTCCTGGAAAAGACAAAAAGCCCAATGCACCTGTTACATACATGTATAAATCAGTATTTCAAACTGTATTGTCCAAATCTGGAGCAAATAACATCAAAATCAAGACCAGAAAGTTGCTAGAGAACAGAAATACAGTATGTTACTTTGCTCAGAAAATTAGGGTTTAAAACTAACTCCAGTAAACAAGGGGGAAATGACACAATTCAGCAATTAGCTGTGTACAGTTGTCCTGGCCAGGAGCAAACTTGTACTGAACCTCTGAATACTCACTTTCAGATTTGTCTTCTGCCCCTATTCAGAAAAGTTTACTCTAGAAAGTTAGCCATGAACTGTCATATCAGAACGGTGAACTGGACAGGGTCAGCCAATGTATCTCTCAGCTATACCTCATTATCATTTTAAGCCTAATCTTACTTCTGCACCACATAGACTTATGTGATCTTCCATATTTCATTACCGTATTGTTTTTTTTAATTAGAAATACTGGATCAGGATATTTAGGTTATAGGTAATTGTATTTACCTTTCAGAAACCAATTAAACATCAAGTTAAGCTTCCTCAGTTACTTTTAGGCTTGACATTTATTTTTTATTTCTTGTATAGTTTGAAAACCAGTATTCTGTGTGTAGGACTTGGCATTTTGAAAGCAATGCCAGAAATGGGTTTAACAATTTTTTGAAATATTGGGCTTTTCCTTATATTATGCTTATTTCCTTAGCATAGTATATTTAATTTGATGTACCAGCTGGGTCACAAACCTGGAATCATATTGGTATCTGAGTTTTCCAGAAGATCTCAGATGGCAACACTTGGGGTGAATAATCTATCACATCAGAATGGAATGATGGATATATTATCATAGGCCTAAAGATGAGACAAGAAGGTGCCATTCAGATCCAGATCCAGGTTACATTTGGGCAAGAATTCAGTGCTCAGATTTGAAACTGAATCTATGCTAGAGTTCATATTTAGATAGACAACACCTTGTTACTCTGAGTGTGTACAGTACCTAGCCCTGTGAGCTCCTCGTACGTGACTGGAACCTCTGAGTTCTACAACAACAAAGACAGCAACAATAATGAGAAGAAGAGGAAGTCCCAGTCAAGTCAAAAAGCCCTGGGCAAAAAGGTGAGGATGTTCCTTACAAGTCATTGCATGCATCATCCAGACAGCTCTATTAAGAAGCTACATATACCTTCTAAGGTTGCATCCAGGCGATCACGGCCATGCGGTATGTGGTGCTGCAGACATTCAAGTATTCTCCACGCTGCAAGGTGGGGAGGGAGTTGACCCCTGGATATCCAGGGGTCAAAAAACCTGCAAAAAAAAGTGTAGCAGCGCACTTTGGCTGCCAGCCAGGCTCTGTGCAGCAGGATCACCGCTACTGCAGCCCCAGGAGGCCCCCAGGACCACAGGTAAGGTTGCTGGGGCCAGCCCAGTACTAGCCCCAGCCTCCCCTACCCGCCTCGGGGTAACTTGCTGCATGCCAAAGGGTGCATAAACAGGTGTTCCCCGGGGACAACTAGCAACAGCACAAGGTGCGGCACTGCTAGTTGTCCCCTAGGAGCCAAATGTCCAAGCTCATGGACGTGGCGTAAGAGTTGCAGAAGAGGCCAAATGATAATTTATGAGAATTTTTCAATCATCAGGGGAAGGAAATACCTGAAGAAATACTTTTTTAAAGGAAAGGCTTAATGTTGCACTGGGCAGTTGCTAGGGCTGATCAAGGTGTCATGCCCCTAACGCTGGCAGGAGAAGAGTCAGAAGCATGCAAGAGGTCAGCTCAGAAAACAGATGGAGGAGTGGCAACAGAAGACATTGCATGGCAATTTAACTTAACATGATCTCCACAACCAAATTGATCATCAGTACTTAACTGCTTGGTTGAGATGCAAAGCTCTTCAGTGAAAGGGAGCATACCCCTCAGACCCAGCGCCACCTGCTTCAGCTGCTGTGGCGCCTCCTCAGGCCATGCCAGCTGCGCACTCAGCCCCACATCA